ACAAATCCTTGGAGAATGTAAATCATGAAATTATTTTTGTAAAACGAGGCCCCAAGTTACAGAAAATTTGCTCTCAATCGTAAAACAAAAACATGCAATAAAATTAAGACATTATTTAATTAGAAAAGCTTTTTCTTACTTTTGCAAATTAGATATATTATGGACACTATTGTCCTTATAAAATAATCTTTTTAGATGAATAATGAATTTGTTTTTTGTTTTTTTTATTTTAATTTGAATAATTTATAAAGTTTTAAATCTTTTAAAATTCTGTATTAATTAGTACCGGTTAGGTGATAATGTTGTCAAGTAAAAATTATATTTACTCATCATAAATGGAAACGTTTACAATTCAGGGATTCTCAATGTTTTAAAAGTGCCGATTTTTTAAATACAGCCGTCCATACACGGCATTATGGGAAATAATCGATTGACAGATTGATTTATATTTTAATTGTATCCTTCCAGAAATTAGATTTAAACTAGATTTATTCAACCATTACAATGAGGTGATTGTGAGAGAATCAGTAGTCCTACTATGATTCATTATTTGCGGCCACAATCTTAACAACATTAGATATTCAGTTGATGGTATTGATAACAGACACAGAAAGGAAAACTCCTAATAGCAAAGGAAAGCGAGAAGAAAGGACTAATGTCAATTCTAAGCAGACAGAATGTATGGTTGTCAGCAAAAGGAGTCCAACATGCGAATTACGAATTGCAAAGAAAAAAATCAACCAAGTAGAAAAATTTAAATATCTAGGAAATGTTTTAACAGAGGACGAAAAATGCTACACCGAAATCCAAAGACGAATTGGGATAGAGAAAGTTGCCTTACAAAAGCTAAGCAAAGTATTAAGAAACGGGAAAACATCGTTAGAAATAAAGAAAAGAGTACTGAGCTGTTATGTAATATCGGTCTTCCTATATGGCAGTGAATGCTAGACAATCTCATCACAGATGAAGACGAGACTTGAGGAATAGAAATGTGGTTCTACAGAAGGATGTTGAGAATATCATGGACTGAACCCGTGAGTAATGACGAAGTTTTAGAGAAAATGTAAATGAAAATGACACTTATAATAAACATCAAAAAGAGACAGTTGAAATTTCTAGGATACATAATGCGGAAAGACGGCTTAGAAAATTCGACACGCGCAGGACATATTGAAGCCAAGAGGGACAGAGGAAAATAGCGTATAACCTACGTAACACACTTGTGTAAATGTTTGGCAGAATAGGGATTAGGAGAGATAGCAAAAAGACAAAATTTAGTAAGAATTACAAAGGGCGGGAAATTGTAGAGAACCATGATCATCAATGTTTTGAAAGGACACGGAACATAGAAGAAGAAGAAGAAGAAGAAACAGCTAATATACTACAAATGGCTCTGTTAATGGTCGTTAGCTATTAGTCGAACCCTTTACAAGACCGGATTAATGCAGCAAGCATAACTCAACAAGGAGACTATCCTTGGTTCTCTCTTGATGACAACTAGGCCTTTTAATTTAGATATTGCAGTTAATTTAATAACAAAACATACCTATACCAACAAAAGAAACAAAGGAAAGAGTACTGAAGTACTATGTAACATAGGGGTCCTTTCATATGACAGTGAATGGTAGACAATCGCCTCACAGATGAAGGAGAGACTTGAAATAGCAGAGATGTGGTTCTACAGAAGGATGCTGAGAATAGCATGAACTGAACATTTGAGCAACGACGAAGTTTTAAGAAAAATAGAAACAAAAGGACACGTATATTGAGCATCATGAAGAGACACTTTCTAGGGCACATAATGAAGAAAGAGGGCTTGGAAAATCTGACACACACGGGGCATATTGAAGGCAAGAGGGACAGAAGAAAACAGCGCATAACCTCTGCCTAACGAGCTTGTGTAAATGGTTGGTAGAACAGGGATTAGGAGAGATCGCAAAAAGACAATATTTACTAAAATCTACAAAGGACAGGAAATTGTTGAGAGCCATGATTGACCATGTCCTGAAGAGACACGGTACAGAGAAGAAAAAGAATCTAGGATTTTTTTATTCTGACGATTGCAGGATGTAAAAGTAAAGAAATATCCAAACAGAACAAGACGAAACAAAAGAAATAAAAAAAAAACAATGTATTAAGAGCCTGTTCTTTTTCTTTTCTTTTTTTATTTCAAAGAAAGGCGATAAAGCCACTAGGACGCAAGAGGTTACTGGTAGTGGAAGAGAATGAGAAGAGTTTAGTGAGAAGGACAATAAAAGAACAGGATGCAGGAAAATAGAAGAATTGCGATTGACGTTGCATTTACATTTTTGAGGACTGTAGGTGACAGGGGAGAAAGAAATTGGAAAAAAGTTCCACAGGTGAGAAGTGTGAGGAAAGAAACTATTAGAATAGAACTTACGGTACTTCTAGCTTTTTCATTAGTAAAACGATAAGAACTAGTTGCCAATTTAGTAGTACGTTTAAATTCACGCACTCGGGTTACTAAGGAGGAGAACTC